ACCTCTGTTTCAAAAAAAAAAAATGCCCTGGCTGTAATAATCTTATATAATCATATTTGGACACTTACATATTCTAAATAAAAAAGCATATATTTTATTGTATTGTGGACACACAATAATCGTTTGGAGGATAAGCTGAAAAGGAGGAGTTCAAACAACCAGCGTGTGACAACTCTTAGATCAAGCCAGGCACTTTCTATCGTGAGATCTCCATCTCCCATTTCCTTTGTTTTTGTTTCATCCTTTCTCTCCTATTATTTGTGTGCATCTGTGTTATCTGTGTGAGGCGTCATTTCCAACACTTTGATCAGTTTGTGCCTTTTCCTTCCCTTTTTCCTTCACAATTCTTCCAGACTGATCGCATAAACCCAGATGACATAGATTTAGAAAATGAGCCCTGGTATAAATTCTTTTCAGAGCTGGAGTTTGGACGCCCGGTAAGTGAGGCTAGAACACCAAGGTATAAAATTTAAAGAAAATAAAAATTCACACAATATAGATCAAAATATGCATTGTATTCAGAAGTAATAATTGGAGCACTCCATCATTAGTGTTTATGTATGTTTTTCTATATTGTGGTGGGTTAATGTAATATTTACACAATATTTCATTTTCTGGGAGGGGAAAGTCCCACCAAAGTCAGTAGGGGTGTTAATGACCAGTAAAACTGAGCTATCAGTGAACTTTCATTTTAGATTTTTATAAATATTTAACACATTGAAACTCTGGGTCTCAATGTTAACTTATTGCTAAATGCTTAGACATTTAGTTATGTTGGTTAGCAGGCAGCTCTTGTCTAAGGAAGTTGCTGAACAGAGTTATCCAGACGCATGGCTGCTGGCCGGTATGGTAACACGTGTGGTCCCTATTGGTAGCTCCGTGATGTCAGATAAATAATTTTCAGATGTTTTACAACTTTAATGAAAGAAGGAATGTCATTTAAAAAAAAAAATCTATTTGAGAAGCCTAAACATAATTTCATATAAGGCTGGCGTTAATTCTGTTCTCTGGTGTTATAATTATTCCTCTGAAGGAATATCTGCAATTCATCTGAGGAATGCAGTCTTATCTTTCTTGCTATTCTGTAGCTGCTTTTTGTTCAAGCCCAGCGGAATTTGTGCAGCGTACCAGCAGCACTTGGATAGTGTTGGACCCATAGATACCCCAAAGCTATTATCCTCACGCTGAAAAGCAGCACCCACTCATATGCTCAAATGCTTTTTCAAACATTCCTCTGTCTTACTACACATAAAGCTGCTGTAAGCTCTCCAGGGCTAGTGGACAGTTACTGTCACACATTCTTTACCACAGTCCATATTCCCTTCCCCTTCCCCCATTTTGTTTTGTTTGTGTCACTCTTGTGGTCTGTCATCACTTGGTTTCTAACTATGTCACCTTCTCCACATGTTTCATTCCTTGCTGCCATTGATTCTCCTCCATTTCATCTCTGCAATTCTGCTTAAATGATGCAGCCTCCTAAAAAGCTCTTGGATTATGTTCAAGACAATCCTTCAGGTCTTTCCAATGAGGTAAATTAAGCATGTTTCTTCTATGGTTGATTTAACTAGGAAACGACATTTGGTTTTGTTCATAAGTTCTCTGTGGTTTGGTTACCGTGTACATCTCTTGGTTGCCACCATAATTTACTTACAGTAAAACTCAAAGTGAATTGGGGGAGGAGTGAAATATGTGTAAGAATCTTAACTGAAGTAAAACACCTATAAAATTGGTTGGTCGTCTTTTTAAGTGATCTGTAATTCTGATTTTTTTTTTCCTGCTCACTCCACCAGCACATACTTAAGTTGCCAGAACTGATTCTTAATCTGTTTTTAATTAATTCTTCAGCATTTATTCTCTGATTGAAACAGAAAATGTATTACCTCTTAACAATCTATGAAATGTTTGTTAATGTACACATTCAGTAATGCTGAGATTTCCTCAGGTGTCAAGCAACTTTATATTATTCAAAATTATTATTTTTTCCATCTCTTTGGTTTCAAAAATGGTTGTTCTATTTATTTAAAACATTTATTAGGTGCCTTTCTAACTTCCCGAACTCAGGGTGGCTTACAATATAAATAAAATGCACAGAGAGTAATTAAAATTTGGAATTCGCTGCCAGAGGATGTAGGGATGGCCACAAGAATAAACTGCTTTGAAAGGGGATTAGATAAATTGTGGGGGCTAGGTCTATAAGTGGCTACCAGCCATGTGACTGAGAGGACCCTCCACATTCAGAGGCACTAAACCTCTGATTCCCAAAGCCAGAAAGCAACGTCAGGAGAACGTTTCAGCCTTTATGTCCTGTTGTTGGCTCTCCAGAGGAACTGGTTGGCCACTGTGTGAGACAGGATGCTGCACTAGATGGATCCAGCAGGGCTCTTCTTATGTTCTTAATGATTATTAAAAACACATAAAATAACATAATTTAAAATATCCAGTTAGGACTGCCAATAGCTAAAAGCTAAATTAATCAAATGCGGTCCTAAATAAAACTGCCTTCATCTGCTTCCTGATGACTGAAAATAAGGGGGACAGGCACATCTCACTGGGGAGGCTGTTCTATAATCGTGGGGCTGCCACCAAAAAGGCCCTCCTGTGCACCCATCAGATGAGCTTCTTTGATTGGTGAGACAGTCAGGAGGGGCTGTGCCTGTGATCTTAATTCCCAGGGAGGAACATATAGGAGACGATGGCCCTTCAGATATCCCTGTCCCAAGCCACGTAGGGCTGTAAAGGACAAAAACTCCACCTTGAATTGGGCTTGGGGCAACATTGGTAGTCAGTGTAATTGCTGTTGTATGGGGTAGCTTTCCGGTAGCTGGCCCTAACCTGAAGTGCAGCCTCAGCATTCTGCCCTAGTGGCAGGTTCTGAACACTCTTCAAGGGTAGGCCTTGCTTACAGCTATTATTGATGAAGGCTTCTGTATTTGCAGCTTTTTAGGGGGAAATTGTAGTTAAACATGTACAAAATTGGTATTTGTGTACCCAGAACTGTTCTTGAATATATCTTGTACTCAGATACCCAATTACTTTCAGTTCCTGTTGTGCTTATTTGTGACTATGCTATGCTTATTATTGTACTAGGTGTCAGTTGTAGTCACAGGACTTGAGTCAGCAATTGATATAAGTAAGCGTCTTTTAGTGCCCGTGAACTGGTGGGGGGTGGGGCTCACTGGCAACCAGAGCTGCCTGCAACACTCCTGCCTGACATCATGATACACAATACAGGTGGAGCAGTAGCATCAGCTCACTTATTCTTACTGTCCTTCTCACTCTGTCACTCTGGTTCCTCCATCCCTTTTGTAGCATAATGGACAATGGAGAAGGAGACCATCCACAGATAGTCTGGGGCCTGAGTCTCAAACTAGACATTACAGCTTACGAAGGTGGGGGCATTTCCCAGCTTGCTGTAACACAGAAGAACAGGTTGTCTTACCTTTACAGTGCTTCCTTGCTCTGGAGCCCTGCAAGGGGGGAGGAAGAGTTTCTGGCTTGTCTTCTGTTCCGTTTTCACCAGCAGAAAAAGCCATGGGGGCCTATTCACCCCTTTCTGCAGCTCTACACATCTTTCCTAGAGAAAGGGGGAAAGAGAAGGAGCCAGAGAAAGAGGCAAACAGCCCCCCCATACAGGCCCGTAGCTAACACTGGGCCCATGGGGCGCAGCCCCCTAGCATTTCTTCCAGGCTCCCTCCCTCCTCGGCTGGCCCCCAAATTGAATTAATGTAATTAACTTTGATTTAATTAGCTGTGCCCCCCAAGGCCCCCTCCCCCCAAAATCTTTAGCTACAGGGCTGCCCTCATGGCTGTTTCAACTGGCAAAAACTGTGCAGGAGGGAAGCCCCCCTTGCAGTGTTCCAGAGCTGAACAGGGAATTGGAGCACTGTAAAGGTAAGATCCATGTTCTGTGTGATAGCAAGTTGAGATGTGCACCCATGTCCCCCACCTGTGTAAGCTGTAACTTCTGGTTTGAACCTGAGAATCTACTAAAATCTACTGGCCCTGTGAGTTAATGCAAAATGTAGTCAAAGCACCTCTAGAGTGGACCTTTTTTTTATTGGAGTCATGTTAAAGAGATATAAATTAGTACAGTCCACCAGGCTGTGCTCCCTCTTGCTGAAAGTAATTAGCGTCACCCAGATGCAGTGTAATGGCAGACTGCTCCCTGTAATACATTTTGGAGATATGTTTTGATGTAGGATTTTAGCAGTACATAGTGTGAAAATTCTATTTTCAGTCCCCTCAGGTCATCTCTGAAATTACATAGCCTGAATGTAAAATATGTTTAACATGTGAATGACATAGTTTTGTGTCCATGAAATGATGCCCTGGGACAACACGATTCTTTTTCTAGCTCCCACAAACTGTAGTCTTGTGTGCGTCTAATTTGGGCTGGAACTTTGACACCCATTAAGTGACTAGATTAAAAATAGTTGTCACTAAGGGCTGAACTTATATTCACAAGTTTAAAGTATTTGCATTCCCAAAGAGCATTCAACAGCCGCTTCTTAAGCAAAGAAAAGCCTTGAGGTCAGCGTGACGATCTCTGCTCTTAACATGAAGCTTGAAAGGTCAAGTGGCTATATAAGTTATAGATGTCTAAGCTATGTTTACAGAGAATTTCCAGCTTTATTTGACATTAATGCTTCGGTAAGTAACTGGAGGATATTTCGTAAGTCTTATTCATGTTTTTAAAAACCGTATTCGAGTTTCCACTATTTAGCTATTCTAAATCATTGTATATCTAATTTGGGAAGCAGGCTGTTAAAACAAGGACTGTTTCTGAATCTTTGCCTCCAAAATAAAATAAGGGTTCTGCAGTGGATTTTGAAAGCTGCCTAACCTCTCTTGTGAAATGGTCCAAATTCTTCTGGAGGTATTAACCAGGCTGACTTGATTTGTTAAATTATGTGTAGGTTCTTTGCATGGTGATTTGTTATGAATGATGCTAGTGGAATTCAGAATAAAAGTTTAATGGAGTCATTTATTTGTCTCTCTAGACTTCCTTGTATTACAGTCCAACAGACAGAGGCTTGGACAGACCTTCTAGGTAAGAAAAACTTGACGTATTGATGCATTTTTTTTAAAAAGGCCTTTATAACTAGAAAGAGCCATCTGGACATCCATATCCCAGTTCCCATTCAAAAGTAAGTGCAGTTGGCCTTCCTCTGATAGGAGGAAATACAAACTTCACCCCTTTCCTTTATTGCTGGTCAGTTTAAATTGAAGGTTCTGAGGAGGGGTTCCTGTTTCAGTGCAGATCTAGAAATCTGTTCATGTGCTGGTATGCTTGAATCTGAAGACTGAGGTGGATAATTTTTCCAGATGTTCCACATCACAAAGCATCTGTGGTCTGCATTTTCATTATACCCTAACATGGTTTATTGAGTGTAAGCCAATTACATGTGCTCAGTTTTTGTCTAATCTGCGTTTTTATAGTGTCAAATATTTCAAATAAAGGCTGTATTTGTTACTATTAGCCATGTTAAAAATGTATTCAATTTAAACAGAATGAAATGTGGTATACCTACAATAATCCAATTATTTACATTCTCCTTTTTAAAAAATCAGTGGTGAAATCTCAAATGCCCCATTTATATTCCTGGCTCACAATGGGACTCAGTGGCTCTTGAATTTTATAAGAAAGGTATTGCCAGCAGGATTGGTTCTAATTTGCGCAAACCAAGAACTGGCTTCTAATTGTTCTACAACACTGTGTAAAAGTCACAGGAATTGGAAAGATGAAAGAAGCAAGCAACGAACATAACTACTGAAGAATAATTTGTGTCATTATGCGGATAACTTATTGCCAGCAGCAAGTTGCCAGTATTTTAATAGTGCTTAAGAGACTGGGAATAGACCATGTGCATCCTCTCCCTTTGTTCTCCCTGCATTTTTTTTTTAGTTTGATTGGTATGGAACTTTGGGCCAGTTATACACTCTCAGGTCAGGGTGGTCCCAGTGTGGGGGTCAGCCCCCCCAGGCCATTGGATCACCTAGACTTTTGCCAGGGGCTTTAACGGCCAATCGGCCCCTCTGAGTCTCTGCTGGGGAGAAAGGTGGGGTATAAATGAATTCAATATATAAAACAAATAAACTGGTCCTAAGAACAAGAGGTTGTTCCACCAATGTGGATACATCTCACCAAAGAGGCATAATGTGGTAAAGGGCTTCTTTAGTCAGGCACTGCCCTGACCACACTCCACTGACTTGAGGTCCTCCGTACCTTACTGTGCCGAGGGCTATTCCCACCTGAAGCTCCATATTGTTTACAGCTTGGCCCAGCAAACCTGCGCACACCTCAGTTCTCACTGGAGCAATGAATTAGCCCCATTCTCTTTGACTATACTTTCCCACCTCACATCCCATCCTTTTAAGCACATGTCTTCACCAGTGTTCCCTCTAAGCTGAGTTAGTATGAGCGAGCTCACAGTTTTTTAGCCTCTGGCTCACACATTTTTGTCTTAGCTCAGGAAGGAGGGCTCCCAAATCACTTTGTCTCAACTTTAATGCCAGTAGCTCACAAAGTAGAATTTTTGCTCACAAGACTCCACAGCTTAGAGGGAGCAATGGTCTTCACCTGAGACACCTACTCCATACTATCCCCAGCCACCCCTTCCAACTGTTGCAATAGGATATGCCTCCCAGAACAACCCCTTTCCACTCCAAGGGGTGCACACCACGCAACACCTCTGACTCCATTTCTGATGGGCTAGGGTACCTCTTGTCAGTGGTGTCCATCCTTTCATCCTTGCAGGGTGGGCTGTGACACTGATATTTAACCTGGGGGATAGAGAAAGGGGTGTGTGTGTTTCCTTACTGAGCCATGCTGTAGCACTACAGTGCAGCTAGGAGAAATAAAGAAAAAGGCCCTGTAAGATGGGGGTTGCAGGTGGGAGGGGGTGCATAATGGGCCGCTGCAGCTGGGAGGAATGGGGGAAGGAGACATCAAGAGAGCAAGGAGCCCTGGAGTGCAATCAAGATGGTTGGGGGTTGGAGCACCTTTCCTATGAGGTGAGGCTGGAGTATCTGGGACTTTTCAGTCTAGAAAAAAGATGGCTAAGGGGAGGTATAAGCAAGGTGTTAAAATGGTGCATGGGGTAGAGAAAATTGATAAAGGGCATTTTTTTCCTTGCTCTCCCATCATAGTAAAACTTCCACCTGGTATACCAGCTTCCCTTATGTTCACTGGGCTGGATGGGATTCTGGCAGGACACCAACTCTTGGTAGGAAAGAGAAGAGGACACAAGCCTGCAGTACAGTCTATTTACTTGAACTTTACCATAATATAAAAAAGCTCAGAGCATTCACCAAAAACGGCAGTGTACACAATTAAGAAAGAGACGTCTCTTGACCTCCAGCCAAAGACCCCAAAAGGGTGTTCAGGAAGTGGTGCTGAACAACGGAACCTTGACAATATCTATTCCCTTTTGCAAGATAATAAAAGACATACATCAAACGTCCCATGGGAATGTCATGAGCACACCAGTAGCCAGAGCCTTCCCCTTGCTGGCACCATAAAACCAAAAACTTTTCCTCCCTAAGGGCTATCACTTAGGTCAAAGCCTCTGGCCAGAGCAGGTGAGGTATACACAAAAATCTCTAGATATTCAGCCTTGGGGCTTAGTGCATTTTGGCTAAAGGAATGTGAGGTATGTGTGGGAGACAGTTCGTTCACAGCCAGGCACCGTTTTGCTACTAGGAAGCAGGCACTGGACCTACTGCAGTGCTTCATGGGAAGAGACCAAAGTCTGCTTTTGCTACATCTATTCAATATACCTTATACATAAATGGCCAAGTCTCCCTTAATCCAGAATTCTGCCACAGAATTCCTAGTCAGTTGAGGTAGTGATGGCAACAAGCACAGAGCTTTAAAAGGGGGTTAAAGAGATTCATGGAGGAGAGGTTCCTCAGTGGCTACTAGCCATGACAACTTAAGGGAGCCTTCATACACATCTGAATACTAATTCTGGGAGTCAGCAGCAGGGGAGGGCCTCAGTCTCTCTACCTTCTTATTTGGTCCCTCCAGGGCAACTGGTTGGCCAGTGTGTGAAGCAGGATGCTATACTAAATGGATCACTGGTCTGATCCAGCCAGCTGTAATTGCGTTCTTAGGAAGAGAGAGACTACACTATCAGTGGAGAAGTTTGTATGTGTGCCTTGCTTTCCTTCAAGGCTGTAGCCTCCTGCTATAAAATGTCATAGTGTAGTTAAGGCCTTCTCTCACATTTTCCCATTCATAAGTTAAAGGAAAACCCACCCCAATATTGCAGGAAACTGTAACAGTATTCGTATAGGCTGTTTCATGCTTTTTGTGCAGTCAAGAATAAAGACAGTAAGCTCAAAAAGGAATGAATGCCAGTTTGAAGAGCGTGGGGAACTTGAAAACCTGGAGAACTTGTAAGCTTTTTTGCCGTATTATGGATTGGATCCTGCAC